ATCACCACCACACCACCCCACACCACACATCCACCACCCACACCCCCCACTACATCACCATCACGACCACATCACCACATCACCACCCACCCCGCATCACCACCACACCACCCCACCACATCACCACTACATCACCACCACACCCACACTACATACCACCACACACCCCACCACATCACCCACCACACACCCCACTCACATCACCATCACGACCACATCACCCACATCACCACCACACCCACACTACATCACCCACCACACCACCCCACACCACATCACCACTACATCCACCACCACACCCACACTACATCACCACCACACCACCCCACACCACATCCACCACTACATCACCACACCCACGCTGCCATCACCACCACACCACCCCACCACATCACCACTACATCCACCACCACCCCCACTACGTCACCACCACACCACCCCACACCCATCCCTTTTCATCACCACCACACCCACACTACATCACCACCACCACCCCATACCACATCACCACTACATCACCACCACACCACACTACATCACCACCACCACCCCACACCACATCACCACTCACATCACCACCACACCCACACTGCATCACCACCACCACCCCACACCACATCACCACTACATCACCACTACACCACACCCACCCCACTACATCACCCACCACGCACCCTGCATCACCACCACCACCCCACACCACATCACCACCACCCCATACCACATCACCACCCCACCACATCACCACCCACCCACCCATCACCACCACACCAACCCACAACACATCACCACCACACGCCACATCACCACCACACCCACACTACATCACCACCACACCACCCCACACCACATCACCACCACACCACCCACACCACATCCGCACACCACCCACACCACATCACCACCACCCTACACCATCACCACCACACCACCCCCACTTCCATCACCACCACACCACCCACACCACATCACTACCACCCATACCACATCACCACCCCGCTACATTACCACCACACCACCCACTACATCACCACCCCACCACCCCACACCACATCACCACCCTGCACCACATTCACCACCACACCACCCCACACTCATCCTGCCACCACCACCCACGTACACTGCCCCACTGCATCCACACCACACCACCCCACCACCACCCACACCACATGCCACCTACACCACATCACCACCACACCACCCACACTACATCACCACCCCACCACCACTACACAACCACCACACCGCCGTATATAACAGAATGGTGAACAGAAACCAAAGCAGCTGTCACACTGAACATCATACGATCAATACCACACACACTCTCTCTCTCTCTCTCTCTCTCTCTCTCTCTCTCTCTCTCTCTCTCTCTCTCTCTTAAGATTAACCACAGTAACGCTATCCTGGGTGGTTAGGTTAGGTTAGGTTAGGGTTAGGTTGGGTTGGGTGGGATTGGGATTAGGTTAGGTTAGGTGGTGGCACTCAGGGTACAGACGTCATAAGCCCTATATTCCCTAGCATTACCAGCCCTCAATAGCCCTCCCTCCTCCCATCATCAGCAAGCAGCCCTCTCTTGGCCCAGACCCACTCAAGCAAATGTGCGAATGTTCTTTGGGTTATTGGCAGCCATAGTCCTCAGGGGGAGGGAGGGAGGAAGGAGAAAGCTAGTGGTGTCTCACTTGATAGGATTATTATGGTAACAGGGTTGCTTGGCCACCACCACCACTACCACTGCACCACTACTACCACCACCCATATACCACCACCGCGCTGCTACCACTACTACTACCACCACCACCACTACTACCACCACCGCACTACCACCACCACTACTACCACCACCACCACTACTACCACCACCACCTACTACTACCACTACTACCACCACCACCACTACTACCACTACTACCACTACTACCACTACTACCACTACCACTACTACCACTACTACCTACCACCACCACCACTACTACCACTACTGCCACTGCTGCTACTGCCACTACTGCCACTGCCACCACTGCCACTGCCACCACTACTGCCACTACCACCACCACTACTACCGCTACTGCCACTGCTGCTACTGCCACTGCTGCCACTGCTACCACTGCCACTGCTACCTGCTGCCACTGCACCGCCACTGCTGCACTGCTGCCGCTGCTGCTACTGCCACTACTGCCACTGCCACCACTGCCACTGCTACCTGCTACCGCTACCACCACCACTACTGCCACTACTACCACTGCTACTACTGCCACTACTGCCACTACTGCCACTGCCATACTGCCACTACTGCACCACTACCACCACCACCACTCACTGCCACTGCTACCACTGCTACTGCCACTGCTGCCGCCTGCCGCCACTGCCACTGCCACTGCTGCCACTGCCACCACTGCTACTGCCACTACTGCCACTACAGCCACCACCACCACCGCTGCTACCACTACTACCACCACCACCACCGCTACTGCTACCACTACTACTACCACCACCACCACTACTACCACTACTACCACTACTACCACCACCACCACTACTACCACTACTACACTACTACCACCACCGCGCACCGCTGCTGCACTACTACCACCGCCACCACTACCACTACCACCACCACCGATACCACTACCTGCCACCACTACCACTACCACCACTACTACAACCACCACTACCACCACTACCACTACCACCACAACCACCACCACCACTACCACTACTACAACCACCTACACAAGAGAGATAGGTTCTCATATTACCAGTTAGGGAGAAAATTTTATTTAGGTTAGGTTAGGTTAGATTACGTTAGGTTACGTTGAGTTGGGTTAAAATATTCCATAATAATGCATCAGTTTACCTTCGTTGGCAATCCATTAATTATGGACTTAATTTATTATCAATATTTTTTTACGTAAATATATCAACTCTCTCTCTCTCTCCTCTCTCTCTCTCTCTCTCTCTCTCTCTCCTCTCTCTCTCTCTCTCTCTCTCTCTCTCTCCCCCCTTTTCTCTGTCTATCATCGGCCTGTCTGTCTCTCACTCTCCTCACTGTCCTCTCTCTCTCCTCTCTCACACACCTGTTACATCCTGCCACAACAGCAGCGAGGTCAAAACACCTGACTCTCGGCCTGCTGTTTACTTTACCTGATTGAAGGTTTGGCCAGTCAACAGCAAAATTGGCCCAGGTAGTTGGCCAGTCGAAAAGCCAAGTGGCCCAGATAGTTGGCCAGTCAACAACAAATTGGCCCAGATGGTTGTGATCAGCATCAAGAAGTGGCCCAGGTAGTTGGCCAGTCAACATGAAGTGGCCCAGATAGTTGGCCAGTCAGCATGAAGTGGCCCAGATAGTTGGCCAGTCAGCGTAAGTGGCCCCAGATGGTTAGCCACTCTTAATGAATCACCCTCCCCTTCCCCACCCCAGTCACCTTTCTATGAAAAAGACACACACACACACACACACACACACACACACACATACACACACACACTACAGGATAAACTACAGGTATTTTTTGTAACCTTCACTGTATACAAAAAGTAAAAATAAAAGCCAAAAAGCAAACATGAAACAAAAAACCTGCAACACCCGGGAGTGTTTTACACAGAGTGTTTTACCTGGAGTGTTTTACCTGAGTGTTTTTACCTGAGTGTTTTTACCTGAGTGTTTTACCTGAGTGTTTTGAGGGTTTTACCTGAGTGTTTTACCTGAGTGTTTTACCTGAGTGTTTTACCTGCGGTGTTTTACCTGGAGTGTTTTACCTGGAGTGTTTTACCTGAGTGTTTTACCTGAGTGTTTTTGCGAGTGTTTTTACCTGAGTGTTTTTACCTGAGTGTTTTACAGGTGTTTTTACCTGAGTGTTTTTACCTGAGTGTTTTACCTGAGTGTTTTACACCAGGTGTTTTTACCTGGAGTGTGCCTGAGTGTTTTACCTGGTGTTTTTTACCTGAGTGTTTTACCTGGAGTGTTTTACCTGGAGTGTTTTACCTGAGTGTTTTTACCTGGAGTGTTTTGCAGGTGTTTTACAGGAGTGTGTTTTACCTGAGTGTTGCCTGAGGGTTTTACCTGGAGTGTTTTACAAGGTGTTTTACCTGAGTGTTTTACCTGGGTGTTTTTGCCTGAGTGTTTTACCTGAGGGTTTTACCTGAGTGTTTTTACCTGAGTGTTTTACCTGGGTGTTGTTTTACCTGAGTGTTTTACCTGAGTGTTTTACCTGAAATTAACTTTACACACAAGGTGTTTTACCTGAGTGTTTTACCTGAGTGTTTTTTTACCTGGGGGTTTACCTGAGGGGTTTTTACCTGAGTCATTTTACCCCTGAGGGTTTTTGCCTGAGTGTTTTTACCTGGCAACCCTACTGTGGGCAAGGAGAGAGAGAGAGGAGGGAGGACTAATCAGCCTCACTTGGACACAGACAGATCCCACAAGGTCTCTCTCTCTCTCTCTCTCTCTCTCTCTCTCTCTCTCTCTCTCTCTCTGGTCCCTACACGGGATGGAGCTGCCAAATTTATTAACAAAAGGTGAAGCATATTATATACGTGCAGCCAATCATCGTCAATACGAGCCTGGCACCAGTGACCAATTGGAAAGCTAAAGAGAAAGACCATTGACCAATCAGAACCTAGAAGGATATCTATGACCAATCACGAGGAAGTGTGTGAGGGGTTAAAGCCGACAGACAGACAGTACGTAGTTGTTGAAGTGTAAATACGTTTTGTGTGTGTGTGTGTGTGTGTGTGTGTGTGTGTGTGTGTGTGTGTGTGTGTATTATTAATGATGATATTGATAATGTGTGTGTGTGTGTCACATATGGCTGTGTGTGTCGATATTGTGTATATGCATCTGTCTGTCTGTCTGTATCACCAAGACCTACACCAGAAGGTGACATGATCAGGGGCATGGCGGGGACGATCTCAACCAGCCACCAGAGAAGAGGAAGCAGGGGCCATATCAGATGAGCGTTGACGGGTAGCGAGGGGCATGTAAGGTATTGTGGGCGTCGTAAGGCGTGGCGGAGCATGAGACGACCCACGCCCTCACCATCCGGATCCTCTACACTCCAGCAACAAGACGACTGCCCCGGGCGCCACCACCGTCACTGCGGGAAAAAGATGAACTAATGAACAGTCGTTTCTACCATGTTTTACCTCATGCAGTTAAGTGACACACACACACACACACACACACACACACACACACACACACACACACAGGCTTCGATCCACGGCTTCACTCATTATAAAAGAACCTTTATCCCCAGCCATTTGTAAGGGACCGTGGCTGCCTTACCTACCTCCCTTAAGCTACTCTTATTGATTCTACCTTCAGCAACAAAGACCAATGTGTGTGTGTGTGTGTGTGTGTGTGTGTGTGTGTGTGTGTGTGTGTGTGTGTGCGTGTGTGTGTAGGGGAGTAAGTAATGTTAGAGGTAGAGAAAATATCTCACTCTCTCTCTCACCACCCCCCCTCTCCACTCTCTCTCCACACCCCCTCTCTCCTCTCTCACCACCCACCCCCCCCCTCTCTCACTCTCTCTCTCACCCCCCCCTCTCTCACTCTCTCACCCACCCCCTCTCTCACTCTCTCTCTCCACCACCCCGTCACTCTCTCTCTCACCACACCCCTCCCCTCTCTCACTCTCTGCTTTAATAAGCAGTTTAAAGACTCCAACCCCTACCACCCACCAGGTCTTACAGTGAGTCATGATAACTTTCCTTCTTCACCAGTCGCCAATTACTGTTTTGTTCTGTGTTGCTTCCCGAGGTTGTAAATAAAACGTGTAATCTTGTTTCGTGTCTGTCAGTTTCTTAAGTTCTTTCGTTTTATTTATTTTTGTTCTTTTTGTTGTTCCACATTTTAAGAGTTTTGATAATGGTGTAGAATTGGAGTATTTGTGGTGATGGTGGTGATGATGAGTGATGATGTAATTGGTGATGGTAGTGATGATGGTGAGTAGTGATGATGGTGGTGATGATGGTGGTGATGATGATGGTGGTGATGATGAGTGGTGATGATGAGGTGGTGATGATGATGATGAGTGATGATGATGAGTGGTGATGATGGTATTGATGATGATAGTAGTGATAGTGGTGATAGTGATGGTGATAGTGGTGATGATGATGATGGTGATGATGATGATGATGGTGATGATGATGATGGTGATGATCATGATGATCATGGTATTAACAACGGCAACAACAACAACAACAACAACAACAACAACAACAACAACAACAACAGCAGCAATAATAATATTTATAAAGAAGAAGAAGAAGAAGAAGAAGAAGCTGTGAGAAAGCACAAGGTAGAGAAGAGGAGAAGAGGAGAGAAGAGGAGAGGAGCAGCAGGGAACTCAAACTTGTTGATTTTCCACTAACTTTCTTTTCGTTTTTCACACACACACACACACACACACACACACACATATCTTCCAGGACCAGAGACTCTACAAGACGTCCAGCCCCTCAAGAGCCCCTCCCCTCCCTGCCCCATTAGCCCATGTTTCAAATTTCCTAACTCATTGTGTGAGATGGTAGTGGAACTGTCTCTCTCTTACGTCTGTCTGTCTGTCTATCTGTTTCTCTCTCTCTCCTTGTTTTCTCTCTCTCTCTCTCTCTCTCTCTCTCTCTCTCTCTCTCTCTCTCTCTCTCTGTTGGTCTTCTGTGTGTGTGTGTGTGTGTGTGTGTGTGTGTGTGTGTGTGTGTGTGTGTGTGTGTGTGTGTGTGTGTGATGATGATGATGATGATGATGATGATGATGATATGTATTATTGTGTGTGTGTGTGTGTGTGTGTGTGTGTGATTAAGACAGGTAAGAGACAGGCGGAGATTGGGACAGGTGTGATGAATTGGAAGCTTTACCTGATAGATAGATAGATAGATCGATAGATAGATAGATACATAGATATATTGATAGATACACGAACAGGCAGACAGACAGACAGACACACACACAGGCAGACAGACGGAACGGGCACACAGACAGACAGACAGACAGATGAACACACACACACACACACACAGGAGCAGACAGACAGACAGACACACAGACAGACACACAGACTGAGCCGAGGAGCAGACAGACAGATGAACAGACAGACAAACAGACAGACAGACAGACAGATAGATAGACAGACAGACAGATACAGCAGACAGGAAGAGGAAGGGACGGGTTATAGTGAGTATTTGTCAGAAAAATAATAACACGATTCTAAAAATATCATCCCACACACAACACTCGCCCTGCCTCCTCTCTCTCCCCTCACTGTCCCTCACCCTCTCCCTCACCCTCTCCCTCACTCTCCTCACACTCTCCCTCACACTCTCCCTTACCCTCTCCCTCACCCTCTCCTCACACTCTCCCTCACACTCTCCCTCACCCTCTCCCTCACCTCTCCTCACCCTCTCCCTCACCCACCCCTTCCTCACTCTCCTCACACTCTCCCTCACACTCTCCTTACACTCTCCCTCACCCTCTCCCTCACCCTCTTCCTCCACCTCTCCCTCACCCTCTCCCTCACCCTCCCTCACACTCTCTCCTCACCCCTCCTCCCTCACCCCTCTCTCCCTCACCTCTCCTCACTTCTCCCTCACACCCCTTCCCATCCCCGTTCTCTACCTGGTTAGTTTTCTTTATTAACTGTCACCCCTCTCTCTCTCTCTCTCTCTCTCTCTCTCTCTCTCTCGTTCATCCCAGGTAATTAGTTTAAATGTGTGTAATTATAAATGCAGTAGGTATTTAAAATATTTCAGGTAAAGTAAAATTCTTGTCATGGCGAGTCAACACTTTCTTGTCTCAGCTCTCTCAGATTTTTCTTAACAAAACCCATGAGAACTGTAAGCCGGGGGGAGGGCGAGAGGGAGGGGAGGGGCAGGGGAGGCAGAGGCGAGGAGAGGAGCGAGGTTAATCTCAACTCACTCTCCCAAAATATGCTTGAAGGAGAAGGTGTGTTGCTGAGGAGACTGGTAGAGCCTCAGAGTCTGTACCTTTTTAAGCTTTCCTCACAAGATTAAGGTGTAGGAAGGTTTCTATTTGCCTCCCACTTCATTACTCAACACAAAAACCTCCTCCAATAATATCAACGTGATATTTGACCCTAAGACTGGACAGTGACACACACACACACACACACACACACACACACACACACACACACACACACACACACACGCGCACACACACACACACACACACACACACACACACACACACACACACACACACGCGCGCGCGCACCACACACACACACACGCGCACACACACACACACGCACGCAAACACGCGCACACACACACACACACACACACACACACAAATGGTTGGGAGAACATTTGCCTGTCGTTCTCTCCATAAAAATATCAATTATGTATGAAGAAGATGGATCGTCCAGGCGCTGCACCCTAAGTCTTTCGTACTGGCGCTGCTGTTCTGGTAATAAAATACTGCTAATGCCATAACAGACTGCCTTTGCTGACAGGACTCGGGCGAACGTTCGTCTGACTTTAATTCACAGAGTATCGATATAGGAACAGGAGCATTACACTATTTGTTGAGTGCTGGTATGGTTGAAATGACTGCTCGGGGCTGGCGCTGCTGATTGCTCGTATATAGCTGTAGAATTACTCGAGCAAACGTTGGAGTCTTTACGATTTTGAGAGAAACACAACTTGAGGTGATAATTTTATTAAGTGAGGCGTGAGGTAGAGTGCAGGTGTGACATTGATGATACGGTATTAATCAATATTCAGCTCAATATAAATATTAACCAACAAATCAACACCACACACACACACACACACACACACATAGTCACATAAAGCTTTCCATAAGCAAAATTGGCTTCCAGGTGTAAGACGTTGGCCTTAAAGTTATTAGGAGGGGAGCAGGTGGGAAGCTTCTCTCTCTCTGTTACCTGGGCGGGAGACACCTGGGGCAACACTACAGGTGGGAGGTTGGGATTGGGTTTGCAGGTTTTGTCAAATGGGCGGTGAGGGCGTGAGGGTACAGGCAGCTGACTAGACCATAAAAGTGAAGTCCCATCTAAAAGTCTACGGTCGCGCCCACCCATGTTTCACCCCACTGCGTGTGTGGAATAATAATAATAATTAACGGTTTTATTGAAGAAGCATAGCGGCCGGAAGGCTGAAAATATAATTACATAATTGGGTAATGGGTCTCTTGATTTACAAATGATGTACAAGTAACATAAATGATACAAATATGATATATAATAATTAGGTGTTGATAATTTTCCAATGGTTGGGACTG